TTTTACATGTATTTATATTGCTTATTTGAACTGGTAAAACTCCAGAATTCTAATTTTTAAACAATTTCTTATGTTTCTGAGCAACGGTTACATCATACAAATATGACGTTGCCACTTCAATAATAAATATAGTTATTTGTTAAATGACGAGATATTATAATATATATAGTCAAAAGTTGTTAATCCGTACTCGTCGGGACTTTGCCGATTCCGGATTATCGATTTTCCCGGATTATAGGTCATCAGTTTAAATCTGGTAAGATGGCATGCAGAAATTATAAAATTAAAAATGTGAAACCGTAATTTATGAAATAAAGAACAATTATGATCTAAAGGGTATCAAAATTTACAAAAAAAAAAAAAAAAAAAAAAAAAAAAAAAGCTTAATATTTATTTGTTTACTTTATTAAACATTTCTTTCAATGTAAGTTGTTTAAGTTGCTTCGTTTTATGTGGTAATACTTTGTCTTTAATTCTATAAACAGACATAATTTCTTGTTCAGTTACAAAGTTCCGCTATTCAAGTTCTGTAATTGCTGTGCCGAGAATACCGACTAACTTGTCAATCGAAATTTTTCGTTTTCACTAACCTCTCTGAAATTTTCTTCACTGTCTTAAGCGCATTATAATGACGAGGAATTTGATTTAAATCATATCAAAGACGGAGTACATCGAAATGAAATACTACATTTAGTAAGGAATTATAAACCAAATAAAATAAAAACATCTGCCCTGAAGATAAGGATAGTGCTGACAGATCAACTTCCGATTCATTGCGCACCGCGGCGTCCCCCCTCCTCGCCGTAGAGCAGCGTCAATTTGATAAACAGATTTCGGAATGGTTACAGAAACAAAGGATATGCCTTTATCCATTTTTTGGGAGCAATTCCACTTTTTGTAATGGACATCGAAACATACTCTCGCTTTGTAGATCCTTTGGGACCTCCAGCAACGGAAATTCTATTTGACATAATCGAAAGTTCCAGCTTACTTTTATAAAATTGCTCTAACACTCTGCAAAAAATAGTAAGCCGGATCCAATTCGAAGATTAAGGAACAACGCAATCTGCAACATTAACTGAAATAGATAATTAGATAATTTTAGCTTATACCGTCCATACACTAAACGCGCATGCGTAAACGTATTATGCGCATGCGCACACGCATATTCGCAGCCGTAAAGGTCTTATGCGCAGCCCTACAGGTCAACGCGACGCATGTGCAGAAAGTTTGTAGCTTTAAGGTCCGGATTATAGATCAGTCCGGATTATGGGTGTCCGAATTAACGACTTTTGACTGTATATATTGATTAGCAAAAAAAAGTTCCCTGTCTTTCAGATATCCTTTTACGTGCATTATCCATATTGTGTATTTGTTTCCAATATGCATAATGAATTCAAGTCTTCTTACAGCTGTAATTATTTCACTTCTGTTGGTAGTTTCTAAGTGTTTTGATATAACTTTGTCACTACTGCAATTATTACTTTCCCCTATTTCTTGCAATTTTCATTGAACAGGTGATATGGCATCATCGTCATTAAAATCTCATATTATCCAGGATCACTTGCAGCAATATATAATTATTTGGTTAATTTCATTTGCATCAAGATTTAAATTATTTTCCAATCTCTGAAACATTGTTCATTTTCATGGTTATTATGTTCCTCTTCTTTAAAACTCATGGTTATTATTTTTTCTCTTTTTTAAAATTTAGTTACAAGTCTTCTTAAATGTACAGATACCAAAAAATTTACAGCCGTCGTGTACCTCCTGTGGACTTTTCTAGGCCTTTCAGATTTGTGATTTCATAGAAACCGAAATGTTTGGAGATTATTGCACAGTTCGGTTTATGCATATTCGTATAATTAAAGAAATATCTTTAATAATGTACGGAAATATTAAGAGCTTTTGATTCTGATGGTTTACTCACTTTTTAGACAGCTACTTTAGCATAAAACAAATTTATTTGATGTAATCCTTAAATGAACATAAATAGACCTTGAAAATCATCTCGTAAAAAAACATTTCACGGCTTTTTTTTTCGAACAGCCTGCTTCAATCACTTGTTTTTTACAAGGCAATTAAAGGAAATTTTCTTTAAAAAAATTGGAAAGTACTATTGCTTCAGAGTTAATTTTCTCACTATTTTGTTAGTTTAATTCATTGCTACCTTGTTTTGATTTTTAATTTGATTAAGGAATAAATACTCCATGTCAATTTTAATATGAAATAATTTAGCAGAACTGAAATTTAAAAATAAATACTTTCTTTTGAAAGCATATGGTAAATATCAGCTTGATCTTATAATTTTTCATAATTGGAAACTAATTAACAATAAAGTTAATATTTCTAAAACAGAAATTTGTGTCATTCTTCATAAAAGCATGTATATATGTATATCATCTGAGTGTCTGTTCTATCAATTATTGATTATTACTTCTTTATTTTTTATTTTATTTATTTATTTTCTTTTAATACATAAAAATAAGAAACAAAATTATGTAGTTCTGTGAAAATAGCTAATTTTCATGTATAGTATACTAAATTTAGTAACTATGAATTTTTCTGTATGCATTCTTATTTAATTTGTATTTTAAGCAATTTTTAAATTTGTAAATGTGTAGGCTATCTAGAAAGTAAGGAACGTTTTGGAATTAAAAAGAAACTAAGTACAAGAAAAAAAAATATTATATACATCAGAAAGAGCTGCTTTTCTACATAGTCAAAAAACAAATTGAGGCACTTATCATAGCGGTGGACAAGCTTTGAAATTCCTTCGTCATAGAATTTTGCCGCCTGCGATTTCAGCCACTCAGTGACGCACACCTGCAGCTCCTTGTCGTCGTCAAAGCACTGTGTTGCTAGCCAGTTCTTCATTCTTGGAAACAAGTGAAAATCACTAGGTGCAAGATCGGGACTATAGGTTTATGAGGGAAAACCTCCCATTTGATTGAATTAAGTGTGAGGTCGGGCAGGAGTTCTTAAGTGCGGTTTGCCATGTGAGGTCGGGCATTGTCGTGCAAAAACAAAATTTTGAACATCAACTTTCCTCTGCGCTTGTTTTGAACTGCTCTCCTAAGGTTGCGCAAGATTTGACAGTACCTCTCAGAATTTATTGTGGTACCACATTCAAGAAATTCAATCAGAAGCACACCTTGCCTATCTCAAAACACAGTCGCCATAATCTTCGTCAGCTTTGCAAACATTTTCTTGATCTTTTGGGGGAACTTGTGTGTCCCCACTGCATGGATTGTAATTTTGTCTCGCAGTTCATGTGTCTGAACCGTGTCTCATCACCAGTTACAATTCAATACAGTAATGAATCGCCATGTCTGTCGTAGGCCTCCAGCAACGTCAAAGCTGGGCTCATTTGCTGACCTTTAAGCAATTTCGACACCCATCTTGCACAAAATTTGTGGTAGCCTAGCTTTTCTGTGACAATTTCAAACAACAAAGAAACGTGGAAAACTAAGCAAAAGCTCTGTTATTGTGAAACAGCGGTTTTCACGAATCTTTTCATCAACTTTAGCAACCAGTTCGTCAGTCACAATGCTAAGGCGTCCATTCTTCTCTTCATTGTGAACGTTAGTTCGGCCATTTTTAAACTGAATGAACCATTTCCGGATTGAACTTTCATTCATTACGTTGTTTCTGTACACTTCACACACTTGCCAAAACATTTCCATAGGTTTTAGGTTTTTTTGCCAACAAAACCCTATCACAGACCGCACCTCACAACTGGCAGGTTTTTCAATTTTAGCACACATTTTAAATTTGAATATTGAAAAAACGGGCAGCGTGGAAATGTTCCCGTTGTGATGGCTGGACACCAACTGAGATGCCAAGCATGCAGACACCAAAATATATGTGATTGGCATGCACCTAGTGATGTCAGATGGAAACGTTCCTTACTTTCTGAATAGCCCTCATATTTTTTAATTAATCTGTGAAGTGCTTTAGGCAACCCAAAACTTCAGCTATTGTGATGCAAGTATGTATCTTATTTTTGAATTTATTTTTGCCTCTTTAAATTTAAGCATGCATTTGTTTATAATCTCCATAACCTTGCTTAAATACGGAAAAAAATGAGTTGTCAGAAGTGAAATATCTACTGATTGCATTATACGTATATATATACAGTCAAAAGTCGTTAATTCGGACACCCATAATCAGGACCTCAAAGCTAAAAACTTTCTGCGCATGCGCCGCGTTGACACATGCGCATAGGCGTTTACGCGTGCGCTTAAGACCTACGTTTTCGCGTGCGCGTTTAACGTATAACGGACGGTATAAGCTAAAATTATACAATTATCTATATCAGTTAATGTTGATGCTTGCGTTATTCCTTAATCTTCGAATTGGATGCACCTTATTATTTTTTGCAGACTGTAAGAGCAATTTTATAAAAGTAAACTTGAACTTTCGATTATGTCAATTTCCGATTCTGGAGCTCCCAAAGGATCTACAAAACGAAAGTATGTCTCGATGTCCATCAAACAAAAAGTGGAATTGCTGCAAAAAATGGATAAAGACATGAAGAAGGTGACAGAGAGGTTAGTGAAAACGAAAAAATTTCGATTGACAAGTTAGTCGGTATTCTCGGCACAGCAATTACGGGACTTGAACAGCAGAGCTTTCAATTATGTCTTTATAGAATTAAAGAGAAAGTATTATCACATAAAACGAAACAACTTACATTGAAAGAAATGTTTAATAAAGTAAACAAATAAATATTAAACTTCTTTTTTTTGTAAATTTTGATACCCTTTAGATATAATTGTTCTTTATTTCCTAAAATACGGTTTCATATTTTTAATTTTAGAATTTGTGCATGCCATCTTACGAGATTTAAACTGATGATCTATAATCCGGAATCGCCGAAGTCCCGACGAGTCCGGATTAACGACTTTTGACTGTATATATGTGTGTGTGTATGCTGTACTTTGTCAATTAATGTGTATTTCTCAGAATGCTTTGTTACTGAATCAATACATTTCTAGTTTGCCCTTTGACCTGTGAACAAGAAAATTCTTCCTGCTCAGATAATTTTGTCTGCTGTCATAAAGAATGCTTAGGTGGATGTCATGGCAGATCATTGTCTGATTGTGCTGTTTGTAGACATGTTGTGTATGAAGGACGATGTTTAAAGAAATGTCCGCCTGGCACATTTGAGGCAGGTACTTTTTTGCTGTCTTTACCATTATTAAGTGTAAGGAATAAGCATAAGAAAAAAATGATTTTCGTTTCTGAAACTTTAAACAGAATAAGTCAAGTCTTTATAGTGTTCTTTTTCATTAGTAATTAATGATTAACTTTCATAATGTAGGTAATTCATTATGGCCAGATAGGAGGCTTGTCTGTTTTAAGAGTAATGTATTAATAGAGAACTTTCTAACAGTTAATGGTTTGTATTTATGTTACTTTGGAAAACTATTAAAACACTTTTAGTTGACAGCAATACATGGGATATTTGGTATTTTTTTATTATCCGCATGCCCCTTGTGCTGGATAGTTTTTAACTGCTTGCAACTAATTTTTCACCAAGCTAAGATGAGAAAGCCAACAGCCATTTTCAAAAATGGCACTGCATTAAGAATTAATTACATAACACAGCAGTTAGTCAACAAATTTAAAAACGCAAAAAACATCCATAATAAAACACTAGCCTTTATTTATTTATTAACCCAAAGGGGCAACTTCCCCAGAAGGGCTATTAATTTCATTTTGGCATTTTGCATTCATTCACTATAAATGGCAAATCACTTTTCTAAATTGTTGCCACCAAATATTAGAGCCCTGTATTATATTTAAAGAAATTAAATAATGAAGAATCTGCATAAATGTATGTTTCTGTCATTGCAATAAAACAACGGTACCTAGAGCCATCAAATTTGGAATAACATACGTGCTCCTCCACTCAAATATGGGCATCTGGAAGGTCCAAATTTGGAATTTGTTTTATTATCGTTTTCATACTTTGTAATAGCATTTAACGAAGTTTTTGATTAAAAAAACTCAACGATTTCAAATGAGGGCAATGGACAACACTGTATGGGGGGGAATTTTTATTTCTCCAAGCACACGAGACTGTGTATCGGAAATTCTTAAAGATACGCTCTTTTCAAATTATTTTGTTATATAGCTGTTGAATTGAATTTTATGCTTTAAAGTGCAAAGAACATTTGATATTTAATAAATAAAGGTAACACACAAAATGTTTAAAAAGAAAAAATCTTTGGGCATATTGTACAATCTGAAAGCTTTCAGTATATATATATATATATATAATGTTGTATGAACTTAAATCCATTTAGTGCGAATACAAGTTATTATTACTTGCGCAATTGCTGCAAAGTTAGTTAATAATAATTTATTTCCTAATATATATATATTTTACTATTATTATTATTATACCTAAGGGGTGTTAGACCCAACTACTTCATATAACAGGTAGACGGCTCACCCACAGAGAATTCGTCTGCTAGGGTGTGAACATATACCACGTGATTTATGGTCTTGGCGGTCTTGGGAAGTGACAGCTTAGGCTGTTCATCGCCAGTTTGGCGCACTTTTGATATGGCAGGAAGTGTTTTTTATTTCCGTCTGCTGGCAGTCGGCAGACAATGGCCTCGAATTAGGTTATTCGATTTTTTACAATTATTTTTAGATATAACTTGACCCATTTTTCCTGAATATTTTATCTATAGTTTTAATAATTGCTTTAAATTATTTGCGCCATTGTTTAAGATGTTTAGGTTAAATAATTTTAGGAAGAAAATCTAAAATGAATAATAAAAAATTGAGATGGAAACCTTAATTTTGAATAACGTTTAATAAAAAAATCTCGTTTATTTTTAATGCATTGCATCCTAAAGAGAAAAAGAAAATCACATTTTAAGATATGTATTTATGCAATTGATGAAATATATACTTACGGACTGTTGACTTTCAGCTGGAACTATAAATTATTACTGTCCAAACTTATAATATAGTTTATGATACAAAACTTATAATATAGTTTACTTTCTTATATTTAAGTAAACATAATTTTACTTAATTTAAAGTCAGAAATATTTTGGAACAATTTCATTTACCTTTGACCTTTCAGTGTTACTAATAGTACTTGCATTCTGGAAATGTACGATAGTAAATTAAATTTTTATTTTTAAAAGATCTTTCACTGATTATAAATGCCTATTTTATTTTTTCAGTTACTTACATATTAAAGTGCTTATAAACCTAGCAATGTCATAAATAATCACCTAGGAAAATAATTTCACCTAGAAAACTTCATGCAAACTTAGAAGCTACTGCCTTAACTGTATGCTGCTATACATTGAATTTAGTAAGATTTCATATTTTGCACATCAGCTGTAAAATGTACATTTCCAAAATAAAATTTTCTTTCTGAATTATAAATTCAAACATGACAATACATATTCTATTTTAATCCTGTAACCTAATTAAATAAACACATTACGAAAATGTGTATTTAAATATAATATTTACTATAAAGTAAGGGGCTTTAATTACAAATGAACACTCAAAAATTAAGTAAAACAAAAATATACTACTTTGTATGACCACCAATCTTTTAAACGCGAGCAGGAGTCACATTTTGAACAAAAAGCTTTCGTTCTTCACCAGCTGCAAAGGGTCAAACTTGCACCTGATGAAGAAAGTCAGAAAGTTTTGGAAACAAAAAGCAGGTGTCCTGCTCATATTTAAAAGTTTGGTGTTCATACAAAGTAGTATATTTTTATTTTAAATGGATTAATGCTATTTTTTATTTATTTAAATTATTTTTTCTAAAGTATATCAGGAACAAGTACCAAAAATCACCTACTCAAACTGGTAGTCAAGTACACTGGTTATAATAAATTAAGGAAAAGTCATGATTACTGAAAAAGTTACATGTAGAATTTTATGAAACTTACCCACAATATACAACACATACAGTCAAAAGACGTTAATTCGGACACCCATAATCCGGAATGATCTATAATCCGGACCTCCGGAAGAATAATCCGGAAGTTAAAAACTTTCTGCGCATGCGCCGCGTTGACACATGCGCACTTAGGCGTTTACGCATGTGCGCGTAAAACCTCTTAAGACTGCGCATTTGCGTGTGCGCAAGCGCAGAATACGTTTTCGCGTGCGCGTTTTATGTATAACGGACGGTATAATCTAATTATCTATTTCAGTTAATGTTGATGATTGCGTTGTTCCTTAATCTTCGAATTGGATCCGGCTTATTATTTTTTGCAGACTGTAAGAGCAATTTTATAAAAGTAAACTTGAACTTTCGATTATATCAAATAGAATTTCCGAATCTGGAGCTCTCAAAGGATCGTACAAAACGAAAGTATGTTTCGATGTCCATCAAACAAAAAGTGAAATTGCTGCAAAAAATGGATAAAGACATGAAGAATGTGACAGAGAGGTTAGTGAAAACGAAAAAATTTCGATTGACAATTTAGTCGGTATTCTCGGCTCAGCAATTAACGGGACTTGAACAGCGGAACTTTGTAAATGAACAAAAAATTATGTCTGTTTATAGAATTAAAGAGAAAGTATTATCACATAAAACGAAGCAACTTAAACAACTTACATTGAAAGAAATATTTAATAAAGTAAACAAATAAATATTAAGCTTTTTTTTTGTAAATTTTGATACCTTTTAGATCATAATTGTTCTTTATTTCATAAATTACGGTTTCATATTTTTAATTTTAGAATTTCTGCATGCCATCTTACGCGATTTAAACTGATGATCTATAATCCGGAAAAATAGATAATCCGGAATCGCCGAAGTCCCGACTAGTCCGGATTAACGACTTTTGACTGTAGTAAGATATCAAATAACATAAAAAGAAATTACCAGACAATTATGGTAGTATAGAAATTAGCCCATGTATAAAATGAACAAATCGAAGGTGTTAGTTTGCTGTGGGAAAAGTACCTTCAATATGGAATATGATCGCCTCTAGAAGCAATGCAGCACATACAGAGATGTGTGATGCTTTCAATTATGCGGTCTACCAGTTCCATAGGAAGCGAGAGCCATTGCTTTTGCAAAGCAGTTGCAAAATCGTCAAGGGTTTGAGGGGCTGATTGAGAGCAGCTAGATGTCTCCCTAAAGCATCCCAAACGTGCTCGATAGGATTCAAGTCCGGGGATTGAGCTAGCCACTCCATGCGCATAATTGTTTCCTGTTGAAGATAATCATCTACGATGCGAGCCCTGTGTGGTCTTGCGTTGTCGTCCTGTAACAGGAAAACATCACCTATTGACGTAGCATATGTGCGCACATAAACATCGAGGATGTCATCTTTATAAATGTGAGCTTTCACGGTTCCCCTTGGAAAGACATGGAGGTCTGTGCGTCCACCCAAAGAGATGCCACCCCAAACACAGATACTTCCCCTTTCGTATGCATCTCTTTCACGGTTGGTTGATAACGGGTTCTAGGTTCTCTCCATATCAAGTAACGCCTACTATCGCTTTCTAGACTAAACCTGGGCTCATCCGTGAAGAGAACCGCCCTCCATTGATAAGGTGTCCAGTGGACATGTTGTCGTGCCCACTGAAAACGGTCCCTCCTGTGGCGTGACATGAGCGCCACACAAATGGCTGGTTGCCTCGCATACAGACCACCTTCGTGAAGCCTTCTACCCACAGTTGACGTTGACATGAACCTTCCGGTGGCTGCAGCAAGGGAGGATCTAAGAAGAGTCAGAGTAGCGGTTAAATTCCTGCATGCACATAATGTCAAATATCAGTCATCGGCGCTCGTCATAGCAGTTGGTTGTCCTTAGCTGAACCTCCTAGGTGCCGAATCTGTGATTTGAAATTGCCTCCAAAGTCTCTGAACCACATAAGGACTCACATTTAGCCATCTGGCCACTTCTGTTTGACTTTGTCCTGCCTCTTCTCTCCCAGTGGCTTTCTATCGTAGTTCTGTAGGCAAATGATGCCTGGAGATCATTGTTATGAATTGGCTATCTCAGATTTCTGATGTCACTATCACAGTGAAATATGTGGGCTTGCTATCAAACAAGAACTTTTATGCTCCTCGCAGATGATGTTTTCTGAGTGCAGCGCCACTAATTTGCATATTGGAGTTTTACTCAGCTACTCTTACTTGGCAACATATTCAAATTTTACACGGTTTGGTTTATTTTTGAGGGAGTTGTCGCTACTTTTGTGATTTTTCCTGAATTTATGATAACCAGTGTATATTCCAAATTTCCTATTTTTGATTTGTGAATAAGTAATGAGCTTTTTAAAACAAAAACACACAATTTGGCCGAAATATAGAAACTATGCATTATTATATACTACATGAATAACTTTATGAAATACAATACCCTATATATGGCTCTGATATGGGAAATTTTACTTATGAAACATTTTTTTTGGAGATGATATAAATTTTAAAAAAAAATTAGCTTGTAAAACCATGGAAATCTTTATAGATATATAAAGAATGTGATATTTACTTTTAAAAAATCACTACATAAAACAGTGTAAATAAAATACAAACCACAAATTAAAAATACATGCTTTTATTTTAACAAATTCAGGGCTTAAACTGACTGTTTCACAGAAAAGGAAAAGAAAAAGCTTTTATCAATAGAAAGTGAAAACTCATTCAAACCTGCAAAAGTTCACTTAGATATAATTTTGATGTTTTTTTTGACAAACTTTATATATGTATATATATACTGTTTGTATGCAACAAAAAGTTAAGGCCTGTTTTCAAGGATTTTTTTTTAAACTTTAACTCCTACTAAAAATCTTAATACACACTTAATCCTCATTATTATAAATTTAAAGAAAAATTCTATAGTTATGATGTATTTATGTTGCTAAAAAATAGTTTTAAAGGAAAATGTTTTTAAAAAATCTTAAATTAAACAAATCTTACTATGCAAGCAAAAACTCTGCAATCAAATATTGAGGTGATTAAGTTATAAATAGGTGGCACTTTTAAGTATAGGCAATCTGTTGACTTAAGTTGTTTAAGTTGCTTCGTTTTATGTGATAATACTTTCTCTTTAATTCTATAAACAGACATAATTTCATGTTGAGTTACAAAGTTCCGCAGTTCAAGTCCCGTAATTGCTGTGCCGAGAATACCGACTAACTTGTCAATCGAAATTTTTTCATTTTCACTAACCTCTCTGTCACCTTCTTCATGTCTTTATCCATTTCTTGCAGCAATTCCACTTTTTGTTTGATGGACATCGAAACATACTTTCGTTTTGTAGATCCTTTGGGAGCTCCAGCATCGGAAATTCTATTTGACATAATCGAAAGTTCAAGTTTACTTTTAGGAAATTGCTCTTACAGTCTGCAAAAAATAATAAGACGGATCCAGTTCGAAGACTAAGGAACAACGCAATCATCAATATTAACTGAAATAGATAATTAGATAATTTTAGCTTATGCCGTCTGTTATACATAAAATGCGCACGCGAAAACGTGTTCTGCACCTGCGCACACGCATATGCGCAATCATAAAGGTCTTATGCGCAAGGGTAAACGCCTGTGCTCATGTATCAACGCGGCGCATGCGCAGAAAGTTTTTAGCTTTGAGGTCCGGATTATAGATCATTCCGGATTATGGGTGTCCGAATTAACGACTTTTGACTGTATTAACTAAGATACACTAGTATAAAAATTTTCAGCTCATTTATAGATTTTGAATTAGATTTCTTTTTAACAAAGTAAACATATCACATAATCTTATCTCAATAATTTAATAATAATAGCATTTTATTTATTATTATTTTTTTTATCGCAGGCAGTACTTGTTTACGAAACCAAAACGCGTACGACGTGGCGAAAAAGGGTTAGCGCCAATTGGCGCAGCTTTCTATTTCAACGGATTATACGGAAAAAGAACATAAAATTCAATTATTTCTAAAAGGTGATTCCAGTAAATAATGTCACAGTATTTATTACATTTTGATGCTATTAATACATGCTGAAAATGTCATATAGTCAAAAGTCGTTAATTCGGACACCCATAATTCGGAATGATCTATAATCCGGACCTCAAAACTAAAAACTTTCTGCGCATGCGCAGCGTTGACACATGCGCATAGGCGTTTACGCGTGCGCGTAAGACCTTTTACGACTGCGCATATGAGTGTGCGCAAGTGCAGAATACGTTTTCGCGTGCGCGTTTTATGTATAATGGACGTATAAGCTAAATAATTATCTATTTCAGTTAATGTTGATGATTGCGTTGTTCCTTAATTTTCGAATTGGATCCGGCTTATTATTTTTTGCAGACTGTAAGAGAAATTTTATAAAAGTAGGTTTAAACTTTCGATTATATCAAATAGAATTTCCGATATATATTTTTTAATATGTAAAGGATCTAAAGCGAAAGTATGTTTTGAAATCCGAAATCTGTTTATCAATTTCACGCTGCTCGGCGGGGGGAACGCAGCGGCGGGCGCGTAATGAATTGGAAGTTGATCTGTCAGCACTATCCTTATCTTCAGGGCAGATGTTTTTATTTTATTTGGCTTATAATTCCTTATCAAATGCAGTATTTCATCTCGATGTGCTCCGTCTTTGATATGATTTAAAACAAGTTCCTCGTCATTATAATTCGCTTCCGATAGCGAAGAAAGTGACAGAGGTTATTGAAAACGAAAAAATTTCGATTGACAAATTAGTCAGTATTCTCGACACAGCAATTATAGGACTTGAACAGCGGAACTTTGTAACTGAACAAGAAATTATGTCTGTTTAATAGAATTAAAGAGAAAGTATTATCACATGAAACGAAGCAAAACTTAAACAACTTACATTGAAAGAAATGTTTAATAAAGTAAACAAATAAATATTAAGCTTTTTCTTTTTGCAAATTTTGATACCCTTTAGATCATAATTGTCTTTATTTCATAAATTACGGTTTCATATTTTTAATTTTAGAATTTCTGCATGCCATCTTACCGAGATTTAAACTGATGATCTATAATCGGAAAAATCGATAATCCGGAATCGCCGAAGTCCGACGAGTCCGGATTAACGACTTTTGACTGTATACAGCGCAATTCCTTATACAATATGGCTGAAACTTCCAACCAATTCAACAGAGATAGTAAAATACAAAAACATGAATAATAATAAATCTGCTGTTTTAACTTAGCTATGAAAAGTTACAGGTCCTCCTTTTACAAAACTTTCTTTACATCCATAGGCGCTGCAGCGGATAACCATTTTTTCTTACATTTTATGAGCAGGTGTCTTTCATCCCATAGAAATGAATGTAAAGTATTTCCAGACTTTCGGAATTTGACCAGCAATCACGTGACACTAATGTTGGAACCGGTTGGAGGTTGCAATAAACTCTCTACCAGTATATATCTCGTTGGTTAGACCCAAGAGGCTGTTAGTCTCAAAATGGCATTTTACTTCCTTTCACTTTCTGCCTTGGTTCACTTTTCAAGCTACTGCCATGTATTATATTTAAAGAAACTAAATAATGAAGAATCTGCATTAATGTTTCTCGCACTGTGAAGAAAACAAGTGTACCTTGAGCCATCAAATTTTAAATAATGTAGTCCACCAACCTTGGAAGTCCGAATTTTTTAAAATCTATTTCAAATTTTGTAAAGCTTTAACAAATTTTTGATTAACAAATTGAACAGTTGAACAATTTTAAAGTGTGTAATGGCAACACTGTACAGAAAATATTTTTATCTCCAGCAGGCAATATGTATCAAAAATTCTAAAAATATGCTGTTTTTCTGTTTTTAAATATTTTGTGATAAACTGGTGTGCTTTGCATTTTTAATTCTTTTCTTAACTAATTTGTTTTGTTTTGTTTCGTAGTTTTTAGGAAGAAGATGTGTGCAGGAACATGAATGCAAAAACTACACTTATGATGAAAATTATACTGAACAAAACAGTGATAAAAGAGTATATTGGAAAGCATTCATGGGTCAATGCAGAGAAAAATGCCCAACTGGATATATTGAAGATGATAAGGATATGCATGTCTGCAAGAAATGCGTTGGAAAATGTCCAAAAGGTACCAGTTTCCTTCAATAGAATTTTATTATTGAGCTGCTAAAATGAAAGTCCAATTTATGAATAAAGTTCTAATCACCCAGGATTTTTTATAAATTTTTAATTGATAGCCATCATAATAAAGCTCAATTTAAGTTTTAAAAATTTCATTACACACACATATATATATACAGGGTGCCAACTAAAGTTCGGTACCACCCGCTTAACTGCCGAATGGCTGCAGTTATCGTCATAAAAGTGGTGTCTAAGTATAGTAAAGTGGCTATGCGCTACTAGATGAGATAGCTTACAACCCACCTGGTGAAAAATGGTGGAGTTAATGTCCCTATCTTGAAAATGATGTGGGATAGGAAGAAAAAGTGAATTACAGAGCTGTAGAGCATCGTCGATTTAGTATGAAAAGACACCTCATGGACATGAATGTTTAGAAGAGAACATTTTAAATGCGTATTTGTTTGTTTTCGATTTCCGAAAGTGTGACGTGCCGAAACAATCTTAGAAAGAAAAAAACAACTAGTTATCACAATGTGTCTTTATTTACGATGTTCAAACTTCTCTCCATCAGCTGAAATGCACATCTGGATCCTTGTTAGAGCTTCTTGTTGCACAAGATGTAGCATAGCGGGTAAGAATTGTGGAGGAGTCGCACGCATCTGCTGTTTGAGGTATCCCCACAGGAAATAGTCCACTGGAGTCAGGTCAGATGGACGTGGAGGCCAATCTTCGAAATCACCATACCCAATTATTCATTCTGTGAAATCCTCCATCAGGTACTGCTTCACTTGTGACATATTGTGCACAGGTATGCTGCTATGTTGTAACCATCCATTCCAGAGTTTAAGCAATGGCATTCCAGAGTTTAAGCAATGGCAATTTAAGCAGCCAAAATTAAGCAATTCTCAACAAAATTACATATTGAAAAATTTCTAAATATTTTGCGGCCATTAACATTCCCTGGTAAAATGGTGGGCCGATTAGCCTGTTATTATTAAGTCCACATCAAACATGAATCGAAAACCATATTTAATGTTGAACAGCGGCAAAACATGATGGATTTTTCAGTGCTCAGTAATGGATGTTCTGCCTACTGTACATTTCATTCTATGAAAAGCATACCTCATCCATCCACAATATATCTGCCAAGAATGTTGGCTGGACCTCTATCTAGTTCATAACGAAGTTGCACCATGCGAAACATCCCTTAGCATCCCTGTCCAGTAATGCCTGATTAGGTGTCTGCCAGTATGGATGAGCAGCTAATTCAATTAGGATTTTCCAAATGCGACTTTTTGATGGGTACATTTTTACTTATCTCTGCTGTACTGCTGTCTGGATATTTATGAGATCATATGATAAGATATCTTCTGGTCGTACTTTCTGTCCTAGTGGTGTGCAGGATCGAAGTTGGCTAGTCACGCAGCCTGTCTCCTTTAAACATTTCTCAACCTGTAGGATGGTTTTGTATGAAGGATGAATGTCTGCAGGAAAACGTTGTCGATACAACCGTGCTGCCGATTGTGCCTTGTGCCTGCATTCACCATAAAGTAGAACCATCTCTCTCACAATAATCATTCTTTGAAAATTGCACCATGACTATGAGGTTCTACATATAATCTCGAGGAGGTATCTCTTTTATAGCTGTGTCAGATGAACAGGTGTGATGTTTTATACACTACTTGCATAATGCTCCAATTCGCATACTAAGCTCAAGTTGCATTGAGTTGATGCGTTTTGTGGCACGTTTGTGCATAATCTGCATATTGTCTTCTCTGTTTGTAAAGACCATCAGTAAAAGGATGCATTCCACAGGGTTTGAACCACAGTCCTCTCAAATGAGAACTACAAAAGATATTACTGTGCCCGATGCGGGCTTAATTTTCCTTTGAAGGATAATCTTTTCTCCTTTTGGTCAAGATTCGTGATGTCACAATTTCGGAAATTGCGAAGAAACATAATGCTTTTCAGCATTATGTTTTTAGCATTCATATCCACAAGGTATCTTTTTGTATTAAATGGATGATGCTGTACAACTTCGTAATTCACTTTTTCTTCCTATCTCATATCATTTTTGAGATAGGGACACTAACTGTTCCATTTTCTTCCAGGTGGCGCTGTAAGCTATCTCATCTAGTAGCACATAGCCACTTTATTATACCTAGACACCATTTTTACAATTAAATAGCTGCAATCATTTAGCAGTTAAAATAGTGGTATGGGACTTTAGTGGGCACCCTGCATGTATATATATATATATATATAATAATAATTTATTTACTAAAGAATATTGATTATATTATCTCCCAATATTAATTTTAGTAGAATTATCTTAAAAGAGTGAATCCATACTTAGTAAGTCCAATTTCGAAAAATGTTTAAAATGGACAAAACAGGACTTGAATTAAATCATGAATAGCAAAATTTCAATTCTAAAAAGAAATAAATTAAAAGCAAGTAATTAAATTAAATGCAAGTAATCATTGCCATTGATCAGAAATTAGTTGACTTTTCAAGGGGAACAAAACAACAATAATTAAGAAATAAATGTGAAGGTGTTTCGTCCTTTACTCGAGCAATAAGGCAATGCCAAACTGGCAATTCAAGCCAGGCCAAACATTTCTGTGAATAGAGGGATAAGAACCCATCAGAGAACCAAAGAACTCATTCCGATAAATAAAGTTTTAGCTATTCAATTTTGAATGAAAAGCAATTTCTGCAGTAAAATTGATATCGCTCGAGTAACTGTCCCCGCACCCTCGTGCTTATGCATTTTAGTTCAAAACTATTTGTAAAAATGAAACATGGAAATTGTCATTATGAATAGAATTCAAAGTAATTGAAATTACATTAGAAAATTGCAAATATAAGAAAAATAATGCAAAAACATTTGTAAAAGAATCAAAAAGTAAAAAATAAAAAATTTAAAAAATATAATAAGAAAGGGAATGTACATGAATATATAAAGGCCAGAAAAAGCATTAATTAACTTACGTTCTTTCTAGTGGGTAGGCAAAGTGTTCTCTTCGCGTCTGACTCAGAAGGGTTGTGTTTCAGAAATTCTTGTTTGGCAGCAGGAGCTTTGAATTATATCAATCGATAAGATTTGTGTGAAGTAATTTATGGCCATTTAGGAATGCATGGTCAGAAATACTTTCCTGGGGCGGTAGTGACAACACAAAAGTCAAGCAAGGACACAAACAGTGAGACAAAATATATTTAGTACAGCAGAAACATGCAAATAAGACCATAAACAAACAACGATTGTCATTAAAGAAGGTGTTCGAAATTACGACCCGGGACTGTGATGCAAGCTTCACTTCTTTGACGCATGAAGCATGGTTGGTTCCTGCATCATAGTCTGGGTCATAATTTTGAAGACCTTCTTCATCTCTTTTTGTTTTTGTTCTACTCCAAATAATAAATATGTTTTCTCACCCCGCTCCCAACCTTTCTTTCTTGACTTTTGTGTCATCACTACTGCTCAAGGAAAGCATTTCCGGCCATGCATTCCTGTGTGATTTCCCATCATCTAGGTGTACTCTATCTCTCCTGAAAGTTGGCCAATGCTGTATTGATACACCCTGCATATATTTGTGTGTGTGTAATAAAAACAAATTTAGAGAAGTACTGATGTAAGAATGCTGAGACTTAAAAATACTGAAGGCGAAGCACTTAGCTTAGAACATGGATCCATATTGAAAAGGAAAAATTCTGATTGTGTAGTATGCTAAAAGGTTGAATCTGTAATGGCAGTATGCTAAAAGGTTGAATCTGTAATGAACAGCAAACTTGACAGTCGAAAAAGATTAAATTATCATTTTTCTTGACACTCTAATCATGCCTATTCAAGAACATTTACAATTTTGATACTGTTACGTTGGGAAGAGAGCACAGTGAAAACGTGTAATTACAGCAAGACAGACATTTGTTAAACTGTGCATTTATCCAACATAGCAGTCTGTTAGAGAGAAGTTTTGTCTTCTGTACAACCTCTGTGGCATAGATTAATCTAGAAATGACACAGTCAGGGAAAGTTATTACTATTTTCAGAGGAAACACCCAAATTGAAGATGAGGACTATATGTACATGTTACAAAACTTGGTGGAATTCATGTCTTCTTGCTGATGAGTTGGATATACACCTAACTTTTATATAGATATATGTGTATTTTGCACTCTAATCGTGCCTATTTGCAGAATATTTACATTTTTTATACTGTTGCGATAGGAAGAAGGCACAACAAAATTGCATCCAAGCAATATAGAAATACAAGCAAGGTGCACATCTATCTAGTATGGCAGTCTGTTGAGAGAAAGGTTTGGTTTAGGTTAGAAAGGTTTCATTTCTCAGAGTTTAGGCTCCGAATTAACTATGTCATAAGCACTATGTAAGCACTGGCATAGATTTATCTAGAAATGATGCTGTCCAGAAATGTTATTAATTTTTTTAGAATAAAGATTAAACACCTAGAATAAAAATGAGAAATTAAGAGGATATTATTAATTATAAAGCTAATTTACATACTTTTTATCTTGCCTATCTGTATTTATTTATGTATATGGACATCTAAAAATTTAGTACAGTCAAAAGTCATTAATTCGGACACCCATAATCCGGAATGATCTATAATCCGGACCTCAAAACTAAAAACTTTCTGCGCATGCGCCGCGTGACACCATGCGCATAGGCGTTTAACGCGTGCGCGTAAACCTTTACGATGCGCAAATGCGCGTGCCAAGTGCAATACGTTTTTCACGTGCGCGTTTATGTCTACGGATTATAAGCAATTATCTAATACTATTTCAGTTAAGTTGATGATGCGTTGTTCTTAATCTTGATTTGGTCCGGCTTAATATTTTTTGCAGACTGAAAAGCAATTTTAGAAAAGTAAACTTGAACTTTCGATTGTCAAGTAGAATTTCCAATGCTGGAGCTCCCAAAGGCTCTGCAAAACGAAAGTATGTTTCGATGTCCATCACCAAAGTGGAATTGCTGCAAAAAAT